TTATACCTGTTTGGAGTCCAAAAAGTGGACGGAGGTTGCTGGAAAAAAAGCCTTGAAAGTTCCGGCCAAAAGTGTACTCTTTGAAACTCGGTCGTTTCATGTCGACCTTCTTCCAAAACAAGCCTAGGACCTTTAAAAAGTTGTGTAAAAGCCTTCCCAAGCTTCAAATCATCCTAACTCGTTCAAAAACACGTCGAACTCAATGTGCCCGAGTTCGACGTTGAAACTCACCCATTCTAGGTTTCAAGAACACGATTGTGTTCGCGAAGATGAGATGAACACGAAAATGAGGTTCTTGGGTTCGATCTGAGAGCTTTGAGGCTCATTCAAGAGGGTTTTGCAGAGAGGGAGTATACGGGAGAGAGAGAGAAGGAAGATAGAGGGAGAGGGTCCCTCTTTCTAATTTCTGATTGGAGGGCAGAAATGAGGGAGAGATGGGATTGGTAAGAGAGTGACATGATGGAGGAGGGTGCACAGGATGGGCTAGGGAAAAGCTAGGGATAGGATTTTGGATTTTGTACAGAAAAGAGTACCAAAAATCTATCTGGAATAGTGTTTTCACACTGATAAAATTTATGTACACTCGTAACAACGTGTACAATTTAAATGTGATAGCAAGAAATAAAATGAAAGCGATAAGAATACGTCCACGTCACTGCCAATAAGGGCATAACCGTCAATACACATACTAGGGGAGGAATTATATAGGAAAATTAGGGACGGGTCGTCACAAATGTCTTAATGGTTTTAGATTTATTTAATTTTTTTAAGGATGATCTATGAATGATTAATTAAAATATAAACGGTTTGGATCCTTGAAAAAAGTTACAGAATAAGAATTACAAAAACGTATGCCAACATTGTGTAAAAAAAAATGTATCTCCGAATCCTAACCCTTATATATATATATATCATAATTATTATCAAAATTTTTGTGTTATATATATCATAAACATATGCATATGTAGCATCACTTGCATTACTCATAAAAGTAAGTCTCATTAGCAATACTCAATATATAACTTTTTTTATCCCACAATATATTTAAGGTGTGAGAATTTGAGTTAAGCTTACACAATGAGCTAGCCACTATAATTTTAGTATCGAATTCATTACTTTTGAGAGTCAAATATAAGAATTCTAACTTATAAGTAGAGAATAATGTCTATTAAATCGTAGTATTAACCCCTCTCAAGACCTTCAAATTGGATTTCTTATTGTTGATTTAATTTCTTTTTATTTTTAATTGTTTATTTTATAATTGTTTAGTTGTAGTTTTTTTCTTTTTTTGAGTTTTAGGTTTAATTATAAAGAAATAAATTATAACATCTCAAGGGACATATTTGGCATATTTGCAATTATAGAAGGGTGTGAAAAATATATTTGAAATTGGAATACGCGTGGCCATAGAGATTGGGTGTCCAGAGACTTTCTTTAAGGGTACAAAGAACCACTTATTTATAAACACAAAACACACACACACATATATAACTGTAGTACAAAATATATTACTACAATTCAGATTAGTTACTTTTACTAAGATTCATTAAAATCAAACTATATAGTAATCGTATTGCTAAGTCAAGGTACTACATATCACTATTGGATTAGATAGTGAAAAACTATTGGCTCTCTCTCTCTCTCTCTCTCTCTCTCTCTCTCTTCATGTGATTGTGATGATTCATAATGAACTGAAATGGCAATGTCTTCTGCTTTCCAAGGGGACATCATTGTCGTATTGAGTAATCCATTATGTTATGCATGATCCACCACTTGTGAGTTGTGATCAAGAATATTACGAGAGCAATTTGCATAGAACGAGTTTACTGTTTTGTAGAGTTTTGGTTCAATAACGTAACGTCATATGAAAAAAAAAACTTACACACATGGTTGTACAACCTTTGTGATATACTTCATACAGAGATCAAAATCAAAACTGCTATATGAACTACGTATTACAATAAATGCATGCAGTATTACTAACCCTAATTGCTGCTAAAGCATCAGTTTATAGTTAGTTAATGGAACACTTACTCGAAGACAAGGTTCTAAAAGACGCTAGGCGCTAGTCGGGCGACGGGTTGGGGCCTAGTGCCTAGGCGGGAGCCTGGGCGGACCAGGCGGATTTAAGTAAATTTATTGTATTTCATGTAAATAAGTGTCTGTTTATACTTAAAATATATATAATTTCATCATAAACTAGAAAATAGAATGACATGTATATTATGAAGTATTGGAACATAATGAAAACATAGGGAGCAAACATATAACGTGTGTGTTATTTAAGTGTTCAATAAGTCTCTTACAATATATTGGAAATAATAAAATGCAAAAGAAAAGTTATCTATTTTCTATCTAAATGAGTCGCAACCTAGACATGTGTCTAGGCGGGTCTAGGCAGGCTAGATGGTCTAAGCGGGCGCCTCAGCAGGTCTAGGCACCCTTTTCTTAATTTTCAAACGCCTAGGCATTAATCTGGACGGTAGCCAGCTGCCTAGCGCCTAGGCGGCGCTAGGCGGGAATTTTTAGAACAGTGCTCGAAGATGAAACCATGATGTATGAGATGTGATTAAGATCTTCCTTTCTCTTGGAAACGAATTGGAACTCTTGCTCTTGATAGGAAACGCAATCACACAAATGAGGAGCTTGTAACTTACCAAGAAAGGGAATCAAAACCCTTGTTATAGGGATGCAACTGCTCCACCTATCCCGATAGCAGTTGCCATCAGTTTTCCAACTCCTTGTAACTATCCTCCACATTATTTTCTACAATACTTATAGTTTTCTCACTTTATATTATACATGTAATTAATATGTATAAGGTACATTACATTATATCTCCTTTTATATATGTTATTTCATATCTCTATTAAATGGTTTGATTCACTTGTCACATAAGAGTTCTAACAATGGTATAACAGTAGTGAACCTGGTCATCACAGTAATAATGAATTAGTTTCATGTAAGTTCTTCTCAAATATTATACATACACACACACACACACACATACATATATATACATATATAATTAAACAAGGAAATGTCCCTTTTTTAATGAAAAAACATCAAATTGGTTCTTGCACGAACTCTTATTCTAAACTGTAAATGTGGCGTTGTGGCAACATAGTAAACAAACAATCTTGCAAAGAAACCATAATTATCAATTTATCATCCGATGGAAATAGTGTGTATATATCGATATTTTGTGATTAATCAAAAGCTTAAGGGTCTGTTGTGAAAAAGCTCCGGCCATTAGCATATCTGAGCTGTTGTTTAGTGCCAAACAAACTCCATTTTAGTTTAATTTCTCTCCACAGTAAGGCCTTACTTTCCCTTGGATAAAAAAAATAAGTTAGCGAACGAAGATGGAAAAGTTAGATACAAATGAGTGGGAAGGTCATTTAATTAAGAAAACTAATATTCTTAGAATCTTGATTGATTAGAATTATAACTTTGCAGAGGAATGCATGCTTCCAATATCTTGAACAAAAAATAAGATGACAGCTACAGGCGGTGAAATATACAAGTTAATTTTCGTAAGTAATTAGGATCACAAAATCCTTCTATTTAATTAGATAATTTGATGATATAAATGGTTCACGTGAGTAGCATGAGGCTTTCTTGATTTCACCCCCAAATGGTTAACGACGAAACTTGAATTAAATAATTGAACAGGCATTTGTTGCATGGAGCTGACCTGAGTGCCGGGGCAACAGCAGTAATATATAAAGTAGCAGGCATGCATGGTTTTGCGCGCACACATATACGTGTGTGTGTGTATATATATATATATATAGAGGAAAGAGATCATCTCCGGATCTTTTTTTACTCTAAAGTTCAAAGATCAAGTGATCCAGACCTTTGAAATTGGATCCAACGGTTAAAAATTATTATAACTTTTAAAAGTTTTTACTAATTTATCTGTTTTTAGCCGTTTGATCAAATTTCAAAAGTCCGGATCACTCGATCCGTGGGCTTTGAAGGAAGAGATCCAGAGAGGATCTCTTTCCATATATATAAATGTTGTTAGCACTTTAAAAATTTAACTATATACTCTTAATTTTTTATATTTAGAAAGAAAAATACTCTTATAAGTAGTGCACAATTAAATTTTTAGAGTGTCAATAATAATTATATATATAGGATAATGCTAGCTAGATCAATTTTTAGATCAAATTTGCATGGAGTACGATTATCTCCCCTCTTTTTTTCCCTCCCCTTCCATCCCTCATATTTGAACGGTCATGGTTAAGCCACGTCAACATCTTATATTAATTTTTTATAGAAAGAGAAAGATAAAATAGAGAATGTGAAAGGAGGGCATGAAAGGGGATGGAAAGAGGAGGGGAGAGAATCCTACTCCAATTTGCATATCATGCGACGTGTTACCGACATAAACAACTTGTTAATTAATACTTAAGTAATAATTCAATCATCAACAACCATATCATATAGTTTATAAAATATGGTTTAAAAAGAGACATTACATATATATATATATATATATATATATATATATATTATATTACTGTCATGCATGTCATTATTTTATCTAATAATTGGAGCTCAATTAATTAGGCCCTTAGGAGTGGAGTTTGAGAGTGTGAAGATTGAAGACAAAGGCAGAAGAAGAAGGTACACAGAAAACTTTTTGAGTTCAAATAAAGTACAAGGCACTCATATTATGTTCTTTAACTAATTCACTTTTAATTTTATTCGATTAAAAGTTAAAAGAAAAGTGTGGAGTGCAAAATAAAAACAATATTGCAAAAAGAACTTCCCAGCATTGTGAAATATGTCAGAGGTTTTGCTAATTTTCCATTGAGACAACATTACTTTTCATAATTCCTATTTGGCTCTCTCTCTCTCTCTCTGTGACAATTGGCATTGTATTGCTTTTGTCCTTTCCACTCTCTGACACACACACAGCGCTATATGTGGCGTAAACTTGCCTGACAGTGCAAGCAAAGCTTTAAGCAAGCAAGCGCCCCCACTTTTTTTTTTCTTGGATTATGGGTGCTCTCTCAAGTTTCAACTGGTATGGTTTCTCCAAAGCTCACAGTGTATTCCTCTTTGTCTGTAAAAAAGCTATGCCTTTAACTCTCTCTCTCTCTCTCTCTCTCGTCTTTCCTAATTGGGCCCCTCATCAGGACTCATCACTAGTGAGTATGTAATGTAAGCTGATATTAATACTTAGTGCTTCACTAGCAAAACCACCATCAAAACTAGTCTCTCCACGGTTAAGCTTAGCTGTACCTATTCTGTCTCTCTCTCTCTCTGAGTCTGTTCTCCTCCAACAACTGATCTCTTATAATTTCTTGCTTTGTTTCTTTACCACCCATTAGCTCCATCAGTTTCCCTTCCCTTGCTAACTTAATCAATGATCAGATTTACTTTGGTTTGTTCATAAACTACTCTATACTTCACCATTCATTTGATTAAGCTCTCTCTATCTCTCTCTCCCTCCAAATTAGCCAAAGAAAGACTGTTTTTCTTTTTGCAGCTTCTTTGTGCCTGTGGAAAATTGGAAAATGGAAGGTGATTGTTTAAGCAGCGCATGAGCATGAACTAGCTATATACCAACATATATTCTCGAAGGGAAGTTCATCCTCTAATTGTTTTCTTTCTTTCTTTCATTCTTTCTGATCTTCTCTACTCCTTCAGCTATTTCTCGATCGATTAATTTCTTTTATGTTGATCTTCCTTCTTGGGAGTCGTTGATGAGTGCGTGGTGACCTCCTTTACTCCCTCCCTCCCTCCCTCTCTCCTTGTCCCCTCTATCTATCTATCTATCTGTTTCAAATTAATGAAAGAGGAACACTAGTAGTATTTGCTAGCTTGGTTCTACTACTGGTATACAGCTATTTATGGAGATATATGTCAAAGTGGATGTGGCTCAAGCGTGAATCAAGACCCTTTTAATTAATTGCTATACTGTGTTCTTTAATCAAAAGGATTAATTATATATTGGCACCATATTCAAACCCTCCACTTCTGTTTGTCTCTCTCTCTCCTCTCTCTCTCTTGTTCCTTCTCTTTTGGCATTAAAATAATAGTTAGAGAAAAAAGAAGTGAAAGATCCATCTATCTATTCTAGCTAAAGGATAGACTGATTGATTAATTAATAATGGATCAACTTTCAAGTCAAGAAGGAGAGATCCCAATCACAATCCCAGTCCCGATCCCGATCCCAATAAATACTTCCTTTGGAAGTGGTGGGCATGGCCACCTGATCCATCATCATCAGCAGCAGCGCCCCCATGACCCTACAGCAGCAGCAACAGCAAGAGCAGCCGTGCCCCACAACAACAACAAAAACAACCATTCCAATTTCCTTCCCTCCTCAACAGTGGTGCCCCAAAATCAAACCCCCCACAACACTAACGGCTCTAATCCCATGCCCACAAGCCTGGATCATTCTCATGAGGAGGAGGAGGAGCAGGAGGAGGAGCATCATGATCATGTCAACAACGCAAATGCAAATGTTGTGCCCTACAAATACAACACTTATAATAATAAGAAACAAGCAGTTGTTGGGCACAATGGCGTGAGGTACAAGGAGTGCCTCAAGAACCATGCAGCAGCCATGGGAGGGACTGCCACGGATGGCTGTGGCGAATTCATGCCCAGTGGAGAAGAGGGCACCATTGAAGCCCTCAACTGCTCTGCCTGCAACTGCCACAGAAACTTCCACAGAAAAGAAGTTGAAGGTGAGCAGCAGCAGCTCTCCTCTTGTGATTATAATTTCCATCATACCATCAACAGGGCGGCTGGAGTTGGCAGCAGGAAATTCTTATTAAGCCATGAAGGAGGAGGAGGAGGACGTCACAAGAGTTTACTAGCACCACCCCAATACCCCCACCAGCACCAGATGATAATGTCTAACTACAACATGGGGATGGGGATGATTGAGATGGTTGGGTCCATTCCTTCAGATCAGTCTGATGAGCAGGAAGATCATCATCATCATCGTCATCATGGTGGCGGTGGTGGTGGGACAGTGGGCAGCAGGCCAGCAGTAGGACATGTAGCAAAGAAAAGGTTCAGGACAAAGTTTACACAGGAGCAGAAGGAGAAAATGTTAAACTTTGCAGAGAAAGTAGGGTGGAAGATTCAGAAGCAGGAAGACTCGTTTGTCCAAAACTTCTGCCAAGAGATTGGGGTCAAGAGAAGAGTTCTGAAGGTTTGGATGCACAACAACAAACACAACCTAGCCAACAAGATCAACCCACCACCACCTCCTCCACCTGCCCCTTAATCATCGATTAGCTAGTTTCTGCTTAACCCTACCCTTATAAAGTACTCATCATTATTATTATCATCTGTAATTTACATTGGCTTTTTTTCTTCTGTTTATTCATAATGTTCTCCTTTTTCATCTCCAATTTTCTTGGGTTTTCATAATTATTATTCTTATATCTGTAATATCATTGGTGCATCCTTGGTTATGCAATGTAGTTTGGGAAAACCTTGGTTTGGCAATTGGCTGTCTGTGCTTTAGTTAGTTTCATTATTTCACCATAGAAATAATGGATTGAGAGACTGATATCAGTAGAGGTGGAGGTTGCTTCATCATTACCCCTTTACTAATACATTTTTGTATTGAATATTAATTATACTGAACATGTTTGTAAGTTTTCGACTATATAATAATTAATACCTATAGGTTGGCAGAAAAAATTAAACAAAAACTGGAGTATATTTTATGAATTTTTTTTTTTTGAAACAAAGTACGATAGTCATTGATGATGAGTTTGAAAACGTACAAAACAAACATTGAGGATAGGTCGCATACAAAGGGTCTCGATAAAAACTTTGCCGGGAATTTCAACCGGTTGAAGGAAAAGTGGAGTATATTTTGTGAGTTAGCATGGATATATTCTACTAGCAATCTAGCTAGTCATTAACTACTTCCATTTTACAAGTAATTAAAGTATTTCAAGATGCTGACAAAACAATGTGTTGAATTTTGTTATTTTCTCCCAAAACTAATTTGGATTCTATAGGTGGAGGGTAGACTATTGTGTCCTTATGTTATTTCCCTATATAAATATATATATACACACACAATAAAATCCATGTTGCCTGTTGCAAGAACTCAAAAGAAGACATATTCATATAGCCTTTGCCCTTTGGGGTTCCTTCGTGGAGTCGTTCCAATGCTTCATCTTGTTCAACGGTTAGGTTTTGAAGAATTTCTTATTTTTTTGTGATTGTAACATTGTTTCGTGATGTTACTAACATAGGTGGTTGACAATCGTAAATGTTTGATTGGGTATTTAATGTTGGGCTTAGTGCAATCAGAAGCCCAAGAATGCAAAAAGTAGAAGGAAGATTGGGCTCGGACAAGGCGGCAGCTCAGGCAGAATTAAAAATCATTTTTTGCCAAAGAATAGGCAACAAACCTATGTTAGAAGTGACACTTAGATGATAGCTCACCCCCAACAAAAAGTACTTTTCAAGGCCATGGATAGGTAAATAAATGGTGGCTCACCATACTCTGAGGCCATCACCAAAAGGTGAAGCTTGGACAGTCGAGCTAGAGAGGCTATAAAAGCATCAAAGGCCACAAGGAAGAAGGACACTCAACCAATCAATCAAAAGACATCCAACTTTGTACTCCAGCAAGCAAGAAACCAGAAAGCTTTAGTTTGTCTAAACTTTACCCTTTTAGTTGTAGGACCACCATAGAAGCCGTCTTTTGTCAAGTTTTAGAAGCTCTGCTACATTTCCCTTGTGTTGTAGTATCGAATCCCTTTAGTAAACCCGATTTATATTTCATTCTCCAAAGATTACAACCCCTGTAAAACACAAAGAGAAGTGGTTGCAAGAAGACGAACCTTGCATAACAAGGTCATAATCTTGCCCGAATCTCTTTTGTTTGTACTTACATAAAGTAGATCTGTTGTTTTATGCATCTTTCATTGGATCCTATATCATTTTCGACTGCTTTTCATTCAAAGTTCCATATATGATTAATCTTGCTAAACTAATTAACCTTGCTACTTTAATTGTTAACCTTAACCAAAGAAGTAGTTTGAAGGGCCCTGAACTCCCTTTAGTCAGACATATGATATTATGAGTAAAAGTCATTGTTTACAAGGTAAGAAAAAGAACTTTATACAGACTTAACCCATTTGTAAACAATCCAATCGAACGAAGAAGTCTAAACAACTTGTGGCGCAAGTAATCAACCCATTTAACAACAACAAAAGAACAATATGTTATACAAAGATAATGGTGACACGCTCAGACCCATATTAGTTTTTATTGTGAGCCTCAAGGCCTAACAAAAGCCCCACAAAGGCACCATTCAAACTAATAACAAATTCATATTGCAGTACACCAATCAGCAAACCTTGCCCGACAAGCAAGACTTAAGGGAGTTGTGCGAGGGACAGATCTAGTCCGAACATAATTTTGGCATGCCTGGTAGGACTTATTTTGTAATAATGTATGCCAAGACGAATGAAGAATCGAACGTTCATGTGGAAGGTGGAATTTAGGCAACCTCGTTGTCCAACATGAGTAGGCATGACAGATCACCCAAAGGACTTTCCTTCACCACACATCCCCGGGGATCTTAGAAAGCTCGACCTCTTCTGAGAAGTTGGGTGGAAATGTCACTAATGAAGATTTGCAAGCCACCATGGTACAAGTATTGAGGAGTATGGAGAATATATCTTTAGAAACCAGAAGAGAAGTTAGCAGGCTGTGTTCCTTAACAGGAATGCTACAAAGAAAGTTGGAGTTAGAGTACTCTACACCAAAAGACGGTTTTGTCAATGAAAGAATCATGGAGGCAAGCCTAGAAAAGGAACCAGCAATTCCTCAGTTTCCCTTACTTAAAACCCTTACTTGAAGAAAAGAAGAACAAAGGAAAAATGAAGGAATGGGCTGAAACCAGTTGGCAGGAAGATCCTAAAGAAGAGTTTCAAGAGACAAGTTTGCCCGATCCTCTGCCACCATCACCAGATGTTAAAAGGCAGATCGGGCAGGAATGGATAAAGATTGGTGCGTCTAACTTGGTGGGAGAAACAAGCAGAAATGGCTTATCCATAGCTGGGAGCAAACCTCTTCCTTACAGGCCACCATCATTAGTTAATAAGGGAGGATGAGAATTTAGATTAAAGCAACCAGACACATAGAGGGAAGCATTCTCGAGCATCGATCATAGCCCGAAGTAGGGGACTTCTTATCCCCCACACGATAATATGGCCAATCAACAACTCAGGAATGAGTTGGCAGAATTAAGGAGAATAGTGGTACAAAATGCTTAACCTCAGGCCCGCCCGATGTTTAGGATAACATATCATAAACCTTATCCTAAGTACATTGATGAGCATAATCTTTTCCCTCTTAATTTCAAAATGCATGCGTTCCCAACTTTCAACGGGGATGACTATAATGTATCTTCCAGAGATAACATTTTCAAATTTTCAAATCACTGTGTGGCGTTTAAGGACAACCCCAATTACAAAATGAGATTGTTTAAGAATTCACTGGTAGGCTTGGCTTCCCAATGGTACTCTATGTTACCCCCTAATTCCATTGCCAACTGGGGGTAAATGGAAATGGCCTTTCATGAGCAGTTCTATAAGGTGGAACATGAAATGGCCATTAATGATTTGGTGGAAGTGAAGCAATATGAACATAAGTCTACGAAGGATTTTATGATGAGGTTTAGGAAAACCAGGATGAGATACCAGTTCATAATCAACCATGCTTAACTTATAACCATTGCCCAGAAGGCTCTGAGACTACCTTTGAGGAAGAAGTTCTATGATGTGTGGTTTAACAAGCTTTAGAAGCTGGTAATTGCAGTCACTAAGTATGAGAAGTTGTTGACCAAAGAACAGCAAGTGAAGCATTCATCTAAAGTGCCCCATTTTTATAAAAGTAAAGCGCCAATACATAAGCTGGAGTTTGAAGGCCTAGAGGCAGGAGAAAATGATAACAGCTTGGGAAAAGGGATAGAGTTATGTACTATGGAGGATGACCACTCCATTTAAACCTTTGATGGTAAAGAGATTGGTTCAACCCATCAAGGACCAGAAGATCGTGATGAACGATGGAGGCTTTGTACCTATGAAACCTCCAAAGTATCAGTCATATTCCTTTAACTTAACTAAGGCCGCAAACATCTATGAAGAACTAGTAAGGGCTTGGGTAATCTTGCCCGACAACACTAAGAAGATGCCTAAACCTAAAGAACTTAGAGGAAAAAAGTATTGCAAGGTCCATTATACCTTAAATCACTTCATTGCTAATTATGTGCAGTTTAGAGATTGAATCCAAGACCTTATAGTCAAAGGGAAATTGTTGCTGGAAAAATCCCAGGCCAACATGATGATTGACACAGATCCATTCCTTGAAGCCCCAATCAACATGATAAATCTTAATTGGGTTGAGATGATGAAAAAGGAGAAAAACAAAAAGCAAGCATGTAGGCCAATAGAAAGCAGCATAAGGTTGCCCGACAGGCCCCAAACAGTTGTGGTCAAATGAGTAGTTTTGTGTAGTAGATGTCAATGTGAATGTGAGCTCGAGGTGTTAACATCAGGCACCATCATTGATCGAGAGTTGGTTGGAAGGAAAAAGATAGAAGAACAAGATGCCCGCATGAGTATTCTCCGGGCTGTTGAAACAAATAAGAAGACTACTAAGAATGTGTTCTAGAGGTTGGGAAGAGATTCAGAGCCTAAGGGTCTATCTGAAATGTTTATAAACTTTGAAGCCTCTGAAGAAGTGGAACATAAAAATGTGAGGTTACCACGCTAGGTGGATGTTAAGACTCCTCAACCAACCAACCACAGCAACATAAGACAAGGAAGGCGAGAAAGAACCATGAGCCCAATACCACCAATTACAAAGGTGAATTCAGCTCGACTGGGCTGAAAATGGTACATATTGGGCAAAGACGGAAAGTCTATTAGAGAAATGATGGCATCTCATATGAACTCACTAAAAATTCCTGCTATTTTAGAAGTTTTTGAGAATGTTAAGTTCGAGGAGTTTATCCAAGGAGGAAAGAGATGACCTAATTGGAGAAGCAAGAGAGAAGTAGAAAGGGCTAATAGCAAGGCTGAAGGCAGAGGGGATCATGTTCCTCAAACCCTTCATCCAAGGAAATACAGGGTGTTAAGAAGAATGCAAGAGAGCATGGTGATGGTACCTACACCATGTTGGAATCCAGAGCCTATTTGTTTTGGAACCATTTCTCCTGAAAGAGGGATGCATCCACTACCACATGAGGATATTCCCTTTGGAACTCCAAGGCAGCTACATGATTTCAACATAATAAGAGAATAGGAAGTGCCCGAGTTGAAGTTAACCAAAGATGCCCAAGCATAGATAGATAAGTTTATGTGCCAGATTGGGGAGAGGAAGGAATAAACACCTGGACCTAGCAACTTTCACGTAAACATGACCTATGTATTGTCCTTCATGTTCCGTGCAGAACCAAATCAACCAGCAGTAATGGATGATGATTATTTGGCACATGAGCAAATGGCTCTTGTAAACATTAAAGAAGTTGGTAAGGAGGGGTCAAGCTTGGCAGACTTGCCCGACCTCGCACAAAAAAAGCCCGAGAGAGTTTATTTTAATAAGATAGTATTAAAAAAACCAAGTTTGGCCTTAGCAAACAATCTAAAGCCTATATATGAGACAACTCATTGGGAAGGGGATCCATTTAAAAGGGTGTTGATAGATGGAGGCAGCAGTTAATGTACTACCACTTAAACAGGTAAAGAGACTTTGCAGAGGTGAAAAAGACCTTATTTCTACTGATCTCACAGTGTCTAGTTTTTCTAGGGCCATCACCAAAACACAGGGGATATTACCCTTAGAAGTAGACTTGGGATCCAAGAAGATTATGTTGGCATTTTTTGTGGTAGACATCAGCGCTACTTATAGGGCGTTGCTCGGAAGGGATTGGATACATCAGAGTTTGTCTATACCATCTACCTTGCACCAATAAGTTGCTGTCTATCATGAATCCACTACTACAGAATAAGGATTTTAGGAGATGGTTGAGGCCGAGTCATGGCCATTTCTCCCCACAGCTAATGTTGTTGAGGCCAATTTCTATTATCCCAATGTTGGGATCCTACAATGTCTAGATGTTGATTAGAATGGCTTCCCTACCAAGGTGACGTCCTAAAAGCTCTTAGAACAAGGACTTTTTCTCACTTATGAGGAATAGAACATGCCTCATACTGTCCCTGCCCGCCAACACCAATGATGACCGACTAAAAGAGAAAGGACCAAGCGATAGCAGTCAGGTTCTTAATCAAGAGATTGCTAGATTATGGAAGAGAACAAAGAAAGATCAAGGAAAGCTCAGCCAAAGAAATAGTAGAGTGGGGAGAGGAAACTTTAGGCACCAAAGATGATTAAGGAAGAGAAATTTTGGAAGAAGAAATAAAAGCAGCCGTCCACATGGCAAAATGTATATATGACTTGGATTGGCCAGATGATGAGCCCGAGGCTCCAAAGTTAGTAGAATTTTTGTCTAAAGACCCCTTAGAAAACATTAATTTGGGAACTAAGGAGGATCCAAGGCCAATACAACTTAGTGGCCTGCTGGAAACTATAGATCAGGCAAAGATAGTTAATCTTTTGCACAAATTCAAAGACTGTTTTGCATGACATTACACATAAATGCTAGGATTAGACTCCAGTTTAGTAGAGTATAGAATGCCTATTAAAGAGGGGTACAGATCTGTAAAGCAAGCACCAAGAAGGATGTCAAAAGAGATAGAAGAAAAAGTCAAGAAAGAAATTAAGAAGCTAGTAAAGGCAGGCTTTATTAGGCCTGCAAAATATGTAGAGTGGTTGGCCAACATTGTACCTATACTGAAAGTTGTAACTAATGCCATTCAATTTTGTGTTGATTTTAGAAACATTAATGAAGCAACTTCCAAAGATGAATAGCCTATGCCCATGGTTGACCTATCCATTGATGCAGTTGCAAAACACAAAGTATTATCTTTTATGGATGGAAATGCTGGATATAATCAGATAAAAATGGCTAAAGAAGACATACATAAGACATCATTTAGATGCCTATGACATATATAAGCTTATGAATACGTAGTCATACCCTTCAGGCTGAAAAATACTGGTGCTACTTATCAAAGGGCAATGAATGTTATTTTCATGATTTGATCTGGCATAGCATGGAGGTATACATTGATGACATCATGGTGAAGCCTAGAACTGAAGACTGGCACCTAGAAGACCTCAGACAAACCTTGCTGAAAATAAGAACCCACAAGTTGAAGATGAATCCTGGAAAGTGTGTCATTAGGGTTAGATTAAGCAACTTTTTGGGGTTTTTGGTCCATCAAAGAGGTGTGGAAGTGGACAAGAACAAGGCTAGGGCTATAATAGAGTCGCCTAGCCCCACTAACAAAGTGTAATTGCAAAGGTTGCTAGGGAAGATTAATTTTTTGAGGAGATTTATTGCTAATCTTGTGGGCAAGATCCAACCACTGACTCATTTGTTAAGATTGAAGAATCATGACAAGTTTGAGTAAGGCCCTCAACACCAAAAAGCCTTTGATAAAGTGATGATTTGTCTAGCCTCTCCTCAAATGCTCATGCTTCTCCAAAGGGGGAAGCCTTTAAAGCTCTACATTTCAATATCCGAGAAATCAATAGGGAGTTTATTGGCTCAGAATAATGAAAGGGGAAAGGAGTAGGCAATTTACTACCTCAGTAGGATCCTTACCGAGGAAGAAACAAGATATGCCCCAATTGAAAATTTATGCTTAGCCTTGTACTTAACTGCCAACAAATTAAGGCACCACATGTTGCCTTGCCATATCCATATAATTGCTAAAACTGATGTGATCAAGTACATGCATGCTGTCCAAGCTTATGCTAACTGGAAGAATTGGGAAATGGATCCTAGCACTATTAGAGTTCAGTTTTCAGTATGTACCTCATAGGGCAGTAAAGGGACAGACTTCCTAGCTGAGCACCAAGATCCAATGAGGAATCCCTGGAACTCTGGAAGTGGCTAGCCTTTGGATCCTACCTAGTAAGGCTCATTCGAGCAATGAGGAGTGGATTCAGCAAGAAGTAAAAAAAAAAAAAAAAAAATTAGCATATGGATCACTCCCTAGAGATTATACTTCGATGGATCATGCACACAACATGTTGCAGAAGCTGGAATTGTCATCATTGATCCAAAGGGAATCCGACATTACTACTCATTTCTTCTGGATTACAAGGATACTACCAACAAGAGGGCAGAGTATGAAGCACTGATTATTGGCTTAGAGATTCTAACAGAGTTGGGGGCAGCTGAAATAGAAGTATATGTTGATTCTGAGTTGGTGATTAATCAATTAAATGGAAAGTACAAGTACAAACATATCACAATGGCAGGGTATTACTTACCAGCTACTCAGTTATTAGATTATTGGGGCAATGAAGCAACAATTAGCCATATTCCCAGATAAGCAAATTTGATTGCCAATGAAATGGCATAGAGGGCTTCTCGAGCACAGGTTCAAGAAATAAGGCATGAGATGAAAGTAGAAATACAAATGAGAAGTCTCCATTTTATCTTTGAGAGATGATTTGGCCTGGATGTCATGACTAAAGAGCCTGAGATAGATCATTGGAGAACATCTATCATCCAGTACTTAAAGGACCCTTCTATTCCCACTAGTAAGAAGATCAGACGATATGCAACTAAGTTTGTTATGTGGGATAAAACTTTGATGAGAAAGACTCCAGATGGGCTTCTGTTAAAATGCTTGGGTCTGGAAGAATCAATAAGGGTGATGGCTAAGGTACATGAAGGCATTTGTGGAGCACACCAAGCAAGAACAAAGATGAGATGGTTGCTGAAAAGATATGGTTACTTCTGGCCCGACATGGAGAAAGATTGTAAAGCTTATGCTAAAGGATGTGAGGAATGTCAAAGGCATGGACCTCTCCAACACACACCATCAATACATTTGAATCCAGTAGTAAAGCTATGGCCTTTCAGAGGGTGAGCCATGGACTTTATCGGGAGAATATACCCAGCTTCCAGCAAATGACACACCTTCATAATTGTGGCAACTGATTACTTTACTAAATGGGTTGAGGCTTCAGCTGTGAAGACCATTAATTTAGTTGCTGTGAAGAAGTTCATTGAGATCAAAATCCTACACAGATATGGGGTGCCTGAAACGATTATTACAAACAAAAGGCCATCATTTATTTCAAAAGAAGTAGAAGAGTTGAAGATAAAGATGATCCAGTCTAGCCCTTATTATCCCTAATCTAATGGTCAAGCAGAAGCTAGCAACAAGATATCGGTGAACATCATTAAAAGAATGTGGAAGATAGCCCAGAAAGATGGCATGAGAAGTTGGGAGATACTCTTTGAGCTTCTAGAACCTCAAAGAGAGCAAGAATTGAGACTACTCCTTATGCATTGACATTCGGGCAAGATGCAATGCTCCCTATGAGGATTAATGTGAGTTTTGTGAGGCTTCAGAACCAATTTGGCGTACATAGTGATGAATTTATTCAGGCCGTGTATCAAGGAATTGAGGATTTGGATGTTACCCGAATTGAAGCTCTAAACAAGATCCAAGAAGGGGAAAAGGTTGTTGCCTAAGCTTACAACAAGAGAGTATGACTGAAGACTTTTAAAGAATTAGAATTAGTATGGAAAGCAGTTTTGCCCTTGGGAGCTCAAGTTAGAGGTTTTGGGAAATGGATTCCAATTTGGGAAGACTTTTTTACAATTACCAAAGTATTAGACAGAGGGGGTATTACTTAGCAGATTTAGAATGAGACTTACAGAAACATTCAGTTAATGCTAAATTTCTAAAGAAGTACCACCCAACTCTTTGGGATGTTAGAGACTGTTATATTAGTGAAGTATAATGCTTAGAGAATGAGTGATGGCCCTTTTTGTATGTCTAAAGCAATTGTTTCTAGCAGAAAAGTGTAAATAAGTAAGTAAAATAATGAAGCAATGAGAGATATTTTCACTCAAAAATTGGGGAAGTACAGAGGCTCTAGAATAACAAGTTTACATCTTTAGCCAAGGCAGCTATCCTAGAATGATAAGTCTGCATGATGGTGAAAATGCAACCTGGCTCTTCTAAAGCTATTTTGATGTTGGCTAGATGAACTTCAAACTCATCCACTTCATGGTTTACTCTCTTCACATCCTCGATCTTTTTGTATAGCATGCTCGAGGAAGTCATATGCTCAGCCTTTAGAGCAGAGAGTTATTCCTTCAGCTTCTGGATCTTAGCAGCTACCACCATTATCAGATCCTCTGTAGGTGAGCATTCTTTCACCAGCTGTTGTAGAGTAATAGAAGTTCCAGTGTGCTTCTCCTTGTATCACCTCACCATGTTATCTTGCCTCTCTACCTTAAGATGCTGATCCATTAAAGCCCTTAGATTTTCAAAAAAGGAGATGAATGACTCATATTGCATCTTAGTCATCTGATGGGCTTAGTATAATTCAATGAGAGCTCTTTTAGCATCTTGATGACCCTTAAGGCTAAAGGAAGCAGAAAAGTCCATCTGCATTTATTCTCTGAAGACCATGCGCCAATCTTGAAGATGATGAGGCTCAGAATGGCCCCTTGGGGATCTCAGATTTGTCTTAATTTGCTGGAACTTTTTAACTAATTCGGGCAAAAATGATGTGGCTGGAAGAGAAGCCAAAGAAGAAGACATCATGTCAGCACCACCAGAAGCAGCAGCAGTGGCAACCTCAACAAGAATGGAAGGAAAAGATTTAGCAACAACACCCTTTTTAGGTTGAGGGATTGGAATCCCTGAGACTTCAGTAGCTCGAAGAGGTTGGGGGAAACTACTCTACTCAGAGCAGGCTGAGAAGACCTACCCGAGCCCTTACTAGAGGCCTGTTAAAACACAAAGAAGACAAGTTAAGAAGAGCAATTTGGACCCGAATGAGGAAAAGACAAGTTTGCAAGTATGCTTGTACCTGAGAAGGGCCTTGTGCTTTAGGAGGATGATGTGTTGTTGTAGCTGTCTTAGAGGAAGTTGGTTAGCTTGCTTGAGTGGGAGCATGTGAAGCCATGAGACTAGTCGCCTTTATGACAACTGGTATCTCAGGAACTATAGGCTCATTAATGACTGATGTTGGATGATTGGTAGTCTCTGGCAAGGGGGAAGACTAACAAAGACAGAGTACAAAGCATAAGTTCAAATTAAAAAGATATTAAGAAAAGCTTAAAATTGCTTAAGAAAAAAAACTTACAAAGGTATTGTCATCCTCTACAAAGTGAAGCATATATCCGGTTGTTGGATTGAATTAAGAGGTAGGGTCACCACCATTGGTGGAGGAATGGAAGAAGAAGAAGAAGCTAGTGCTTGCCCGACCTGAGGTGTTGATGTGCTTCCTCCTACCTGGAAAATAATAGAAGTAAAGTCAATGCCTAAAAACTTAGAGATACAAAGTTGACGAGTTTTGAGAAGAAGAATTTTACCTCTGAAGGCTTAGCCCGAGGAGAAGAAAGGTGCATAGGTCGAGCTGGAGGTGAAGAATGCTTGGCTTGGGAAGTTCATTTTGCTTTGGAAGCCTGTTTTGGAAAACAACAAGAACTAGCTAAGAACAAGATATGAATTTCAAAAATAATTAAGTGCCTAAAGATTCAAGAAAACTACCTTCAACTCCTCTAAGATCTTAGCAATGGTGGGTCCTAATCACAAGAAATAACATGATCATTTCAAAACTTAAGGATATGAAATTAAATAAAGAAAAATCAATTTTGAATCACTTACTAGCAGACTTCAGTTTTTTCTTGTTGTCTTTAATTGAGAGGGCAAAAGGAGATCTAGAGACTTAAGAGGTCTAAGACTGGGTCCTCTTCTTGGTTGGAGTGGCTCTTGGAGCAAGGGGATCAAGTCTAACTTGGGGTCTTCCCTCGGGCTCAAAGTCAGAAGATTTTATAATAGTAAATCTTTGCCCGACGATAAGCCATGGTCTCTACTTTGGGTCAGCCTTTGTCTCTTATTTATTGAACATCTTAGAGATGTTCCCAACATCCTCAGAAACATGGCTAGAGCTCGCTCTTTACATAGCTGCCAGCTTCCTAAAAAACCAAGGCATCAACAACCTCTTCTTCTGGCCCAACATCCACTACATTAGGGTTGCCTTGAGCTCCAAGATCAAAGAAATAGTTAAGCAATCACAAACTATGAAAATATGAAGTGAAGGAAAGAGGCGACAATGTAGGTTACATATCAGCAGAAGTTGGTTTTTCTGATTGATGGCCTCCTTCCAGCTTTCAAACTCTTCTTTCTTGGGAAGAGACTTGACAAAAACTTGCCCAAATATCCTATCATGGGCTTTTATAAGATCTCTATCATACTTCTTAGACCACTTAGTCTCTCACCAAGTGGTGAACAGAGACGTGCACTTAAAGTTAAGGGTCACGGACTTGTGAGTTATCTTGCTCATTACCTTCAAGTTGCGTCTGCTTGCCCGAAATGTAACTTCTGAAGAAGAACAGAGGCGATAAGAGGTTCCACATTGGATTGAATCGAAGAAGGAGACTGGGATTGCCTATCTAAACCCCAGTTGCTTACCATATAAGTTGGGGTGGTAGACCTTTAGTTCGCGCGATCACTCCTTACTCCTCATGCCAAATCCCCTTGTTGGATGCAACTAATGAATTTATCCTTGCAAAGGCTGCTGGCATCCTCCCCAAAAGAATCATGGAAGAGGTTGTCTGAAAACCAAGGGTACCTCCTAAGCACTGAAGCACCCCACTCAAGATAAGCCAGAGTCCTACAGATTTTGAAAAAATAGAGGCAGACTAAGGTGGAGTGGTTGGTGGTGGGAGCCTCTGCCAGAATTCAAGCGGGAGTTACTTCCTCTGGAAACTCCAAGTTGGCAGCCCGGAACTCTGAGAAGTACCATTTAAGCCATAGTTACACCATCCAGGTAGCTTCATTGACGTTGGTCTCGAAGGGCTGGTCCCTTGTCATCTCATAAAACAGGTGATAGATATGTGCCAAAATAAAGGGGCCGGTGGCGACATTGTCGAAGGAATGCAACGCCTCTACCAAAAGGATCCATTCCAACTTTACTCATTTGGATTTGTTGGGGAACAAATGTTTATTCAACCAATATAGAAGAAAGTACATGTGCTCCTGAGCTGGGTCAGCAGTGGGGGAATGCAGGTTAAAGATATTATTGGTAAAAAGGATGAAGCCCGCCAAAGAAGTCTCATAGCTCTTGAAGGTGGTAGAGTTATACTCCAAGCTAGTGATCGACTGAGAAGCCTATGAGCCTTGAGCAGCAGGATGAGAGGGGGATGACCAGTCATGTGTACTGTCTACGTACCTACCCAATGGCGTTAAACTAAAGACCTGAGCCATATCTAAGATGGTGGGAAACATAAGACCCACTCTGAAATTGAAAGTATTGGTATTTGTGTTCTAGAAAATGAGAGCTGTTGAGAAAAGCTCATGCTTGATGGGGGTAGTGGTTTTGGACATCATGATAAGCTCATAGATGCCATTTGCCATCCATTTCTGCTTCCAGACGGGCTTTAATTCATCCACCCACTTGGACCAAACTTCATCCTTCATTAAGGGGAAACCCCTCTTAAGGTTAGACCACTTTGAAGCAAAGATTCATGCCTTAGCAGTGTAAGGATTGGGAGTGAACTAGTTGGCAGCGGGCATGTTGCTTTCCATAGTAACAAGAACTTTGGAAGTGCAGGTGAGCCCCAGTGAATGCACCTATTCTCCCTCAAAGAAAATGGACAGATTAGAGCCAACCTGAGGGTGATGAAGGTCGTTAAGCCGACGGCTTATAGTGACAATCCCTTTTCCAGACTCGCATGCATGGCGTGATTTGGGAGCCATTGTTAAATTCAATAGAAAGAGTGAAAAGTGGCTAGAAATTGAGGCAAGAAAGGGTTGAGAATTCAAGAGATTTGGCAGTTTAGGGAGTTAAATTTGTTGAAGGAGATGGCTGAAAAGAGTGAAGTGGAAGTTATTTAACGAGCAAGTAATTAACTTTGGAAATCGTGGGTTAATGCAAAGGTTTATTTGAAATGGCTAATTAAGAGGCGTTTAGGCATGCAATTGATTTTGATCATTATTAATGTCTTGATTAACAGACTTAACAATGATTAAAAGGGGCATTGTTTGAGTGGGTATTTAATGTTGGGCTTAGTGTGATTGGAGGCCCATGAACGCAAAAAGTAGAAGGAAGATTGGGCTCGGACAAGGCAGCAACCCAAGCAGAATTAAAAATCATTTTTTGCCAAGAAATAGGCAACAAGTCTATGTTAGAAGTGACACTCAGAGGACAACTCACCCTAACAAAAAGTACTTTTCAAGAGCATGGATAGGTAAATAAATGGTGGCTCACCATACTCTGAGGCCATCACCAAAAGGGGAAGCTTGGACAGTCGGGCTAGAGGGGCTATAAAAGCAACAGAGGCCACAAGGAAGAAGGACACTCAACCAATCAATCAAAATACATCCAACTTTGCACTCCAGCAAGCAAGAAACCAAAAAGCTTTAGTTTGTCTAAACTTTACCCTTTTAGTCGTATGACCACCTTAGAAAGCCATATTTTGTCAAGTTTTAGAAGCTCTGCTACCTTTCCCTTGTGTTGTAGTATCGAATCCCTTTAGTAAACCCGATTTATATTTCATTCTCCAAAGATTACAACCCTGTAAAACACAAAGAGAAGTGGTTGTAAGAAGACGAACCTTGGCTAACAAGGTCATAATCTTGCTCGAGTCTCTTTTGTTTGTACTTACATAAAGTAGATCTATTGTTTTATGCATCTTTCATTGGATCTTATATCATTTTCGACTGCTTTCATTCGAAGTTCCATCTATGATTAATCTTGCTAAAATAATTAACATTGCTGCTTTAATTGTTAACCTTAACCAAAGAAGTAGTTTGAAGGGCCCTGAACTCCCTTTAGTCGGACATATGATATTATGAGTAAAAGTCCTCGTTTACAAGGTAAGAAAAAGAACTTTATACAGACTTAACCCATCTGTAAACAATCCAATCAAACTAAAAAGTCTAAATAACTTGTGGCGCAAGTAATCAACCCATTTAACAACTAAAAAAGAACAATTTGTTATAAAAAGATAACGGTGGCACGCTCAAACCCATATTAGTTTTGATTGTGAGCCTCAAGGCCTAACAAAGGCCCCACAAGGGCACCATTCAAACTAATAACAAACTCATATTGCAGTCATATTGTAGTACACCAAGCAGCAAACCTTACCCAACATGCAAGACTCAGGGGGGTTGTGCGAAGGATAGATCTAGCCCGAACAGTATCTATAACCAAATTTTAATAAGGATTATAATATGTGCATTGGTATGTAGCACTATGTACGTAACTCGCAAGATAAAACTTAACCTAACTTCATAGTGTTACTAACAAATTATTCCACATGCATACGAGTTCTCAATCTTATGGTTTAATTAAGGGAACTTTAACGAAAAGCTCCATATATTGTTCACTTTAAACAAAAAACCACATTTTTACACTAAAAAGTCAATCTTGGTACTATTCACTTAACCCTTTATTTTGTCTTTATCGTTAAAACTTAAAATTTTCAAGCCTTTTTCATTAGTTTTAAATTGATTGTTTCTCATTTTTAAAAGAATGCTACTATATACACTCGCTTATCCTAATTTTTCGTTTATTTTATATTGAATTCTCTTAGTACCACTGTTCTAAAAATCCCCGCCTAGGTGCTAAGCGCCCTCCTAGGCTGTGTAACCTACCCAGACCTACCTAGACACATGCCTAAGTTGCGACTCACTTAGATAGAAAATAGATAACATTCCTTTTGCATTTTATTATCTCCAATATATTGTAAGAGACTTATTGAACACTAAAATAAACACACATTATATGTTTGTTCCCTATGTTTTCATTATGTTCCAATACTTCATAATATATATATGTCATTCTATTTTCTAGTTTATGATAAAATTATATATATTTTAAATATAAACAGACACTTATTTACACAAAATAAAATAGATTTACTTAAATCCACCTAGTCCACCCAAGCGCCTGCCTAGGCGCTAGGCCCCAACCCGTCGCCTAACTAGCGTCTAGCATCTAGCATCTTTTAGAACCTTGCTTAGTTCTAGTGGAAAATAAACATTTTTTTTTGTAGAAAAAATAAAACAGTTTAGTAGGCATAACAACACACTTTTATGAAAAAAAAAATAGTTGTCCCAATTGTATTATATTTGTATTGTCGACTCTCGCAAGCAAAGAGTTGAATTCACCGTTAGAGTTTTTTTATCTTAATTTTTTTCTTATCTCGAGAAATGCTTGATTCAAACTCATTTGGGTGGGTTAGCCAGTGGTGAATGTGGATATGCTAATCGACAGGGCATAAGCTAGAAATTTAAG